AAAATCTGAAGGAATTTTGTATCGCAAAGAGAAAAATGTCTCTATGATAGATCTGGTGGTCCCCATCTTATCCAAGGAATCAAACTCAGCATTACCAATAATAAAACCACCTGGCAGCATGTGCCTCCTGAAACGACACAGTACAATGTATCTCACATGGTACAGGCTGTATTCCTACCAAAATGTGAACCTAGTGAGGAATTAATCAGACAAATCCCGAATGTGAGAAGTCCTACAAGACAACTGGCTTTGAGTCTTCAAAAAATGTCAATACCATGAAAAACAATTTTCTGCATTAAAACAGACAAAAGAAATGTAACTATCCAAAGCAATGCATAAGCCTCCACTGGCTCCCAGGTCCAGAAAAAAAACTCACTGATAGGTAAAATGGTATTTCAATGTTGTTTTCGCTAACATTTCTTCAATTTCTCTTATGGCTTCATGTTTTCACACCTAGCTATTGGTACGTAGTTGTAAGATGTAAAGATCAAACATTCTATTGACTATTAGGATGACAAGTCTAGGGACAACACACAAACAGGTCTGTTCCTACTGCTTTGGCTCGCCTGATTTCCATGACAGCCACCACCCACCTACCCTGTTCAGAATTCTCTCAAGCTCGTAGACTGCTTGTAGGGCACCCACTTCCAGAACTCGCAGCTGGCAGACTAAGAGGTGAATCACAGCCCGGGGGCAGGTCAGCATGTGACAGTTTAAACAGGAGCCCCGGAGCAGCAGGTAGAGTTTCTGAAGAGAGGGAAGAAAAAGCAGGATAATTAGAAAGTTAATAATTTTAAAAATAATTTTCAACGTATTTAAGATTTTTGTTTTTATGTAGACAGTTTATTCATTTCAGAATTCCACTTCTGGGGCAACTGGGTGGCTCAGTCAGTTAAATGTCCAACGCTTGATTTTGGCTCAGGTTATGATCTCAGGGTCATGGGATCCAGCCCCACGTGGGGCTCTGTGCTCGGCGGGGAGCCTGCTCAAGATTCTCTTCCTTTCTCTCTGCCCCTCTCCAGGCTCATGTGTGTGCACAAACTTTTTCTAAATAAATAAAATCTTAAAAAAAAAAAAATTCCACTTCCCCTGATATACCTGGAAAGGCCTCTGTAACCCTATGAACTAGATAAATATTCCTGTATATTTGTTATCATTTCATTTTCATCCCTTAAAAGTTGAAATTTACTCTGGGTCTGAGGTAGGGAGCTACTTTCATTTTATTTAACTAAGTACCAGATACTAATTTTAGTATTTACATATTTCACTTAAATATTTAATATTTAAGGGGCACCTGGCTGGCTCATCAGTGGAGCATGGGACTCTTGATCTGGGGGTTGTGAGTCCAGGCCCATGTTTGGTGTAAAGATCACTTAAAAATAAAATCTTTAAATAGATAAATGAAACATTAAATATTCAAAATATTTAGTATTTAAATATATACCAAACTTTAGTTAAATATTTGGTATTTAACTAAGACAATTCTTTTCTCAATTAACAGAAAAAAAAAATCACAAATACTGTCATCTGTAGAGTTTTAAAACAAATCCTGGAGGCTAGGTTAACTGACAGAAAAAGCTGAAAATACTCAAGTAGGACTCTAGACAGGAGCCTCATACTTAGGTCACTGTCTGGCCTTCTGGGCTTTGCTCTTCTTGCAACCAAGCAAAAGCCTACAAATTCATTAGAAGAGTTCAGGGAAGGCTTGGACTACTCCAGAAGTCCTATTGTCAGGGAGGCTTTGCCCAGATTTCTGAAGGACACGAAGCCACTGAAATCTCAGGTGTAGGGGATACATTCCAATGCTTTTTCCCTTGTGAACAGAACCAAGCTGTGGTTCTTCTCAACTGGAATCAAACTGAAATTCATTTAGTTAGGGCTATAGGCCAAGTTGGATTTATTGGATTTGGCTCCTCAAGGTTTTAAATCTCATGGTAGAGAGCACTTTAACTCTGTGGCTAGAGCTAACTTCCTTGGACACCTCTTGTGAGGCCAGGGGTGGCACTCACAAATGCCACCAGCAGCCCCGAACCCCACACAGACAGAGCAGCCCAGGGCAGAACGTACATCAAAGAGGAGAGGGTTGTACACCGTGAGCGGAAGCTCAATGTGGCCCAGGTGGCCAGAGCAGTTGTTGAAGTCCTGCACGCAGGTGGAGCACACCTCTTTGGAATCCGCAGGGCCCAAAGCTAAATCGTACAGGCCGTTCACCGACGGGTTCCCCAGGCTGTCCAGGTAACGAGGGTTTGTAATGGACTTAACGCTTAATTTCCTAAGGAGATAAAAGAAAGACCAAGGGAAAACTAAGGTTACCCAACTTCTCGGATGTTTCTTCTTTGGTGCTTCGGGGTTAAATGATGATTTCATGTTTGTTTCCTCAGACATGCCGACAGCTTCAGAGTGTAGAATCTGTGTATGCCTTGCTCACCACTGCAGCTCAACACTTAGAGCCTGCATACAACAGCTGCTGGATAAATACATGCTTAACAGGTAAGAGTGGTAAAATATTTAAATACAGATTTAGTGCAATTCTTGCATTGAGTACAATGGAGACTGCCTACAAATAAGTTAAGTACCTACACATGCTACATGCTTTACAAACAGCATTTAGTCTGACTTTAACCCTCTGAGAGGGGCATCACTATATGCATTTTTCCAAGGAGGAAACTGAGGGTCAGAACAGTTAGGTGATTTAATCCAGGTAACATAGCCAGGATGGGGGGAGGACAGAGGCAGGACATGGACCACACTTAACTCCAAAGCCCACATAGGTCAATAAAGAAAAGATAACCCAATAATCCCTGCGTGCAGAAGTAGTAAATTGAAGTTAAACACAAATATGCAAAACTTTGAAGTGTTTCACCAGAAGTTTCACCCCAATACTTTATGTTTGGTTTAAAGGGGGCTCCCATAGGACACCTAACTACTTTTACCAAAGTACACTCATGCCAAATGTGCTTTTTAAGTTTTTTTTGACTTTGGAAATAAAGACAATTATCCAAATCTTACAACCTAGAAAAAAAAACTGATAACATTCATAGACATATCTCTTTGGAAATATTTTTAGAAACATAGCTGGGATCATTTGGTATTTCTAGCATTGCATTTATCTATTTTCACTTAGCGTTAAATGAGTGTTTTTATGTCACTAAAATTCTTCAGAAACATAGTTCTTAAGAGTTATAAAATCTTTCATTATGTGGCAATTAGTAATTCATTTAACCAAACTCTATTTTAAATAAGCTTATGAAACTTATCTGCATAAAGATTTTTGCACAAGATACTTCAAACTTTAACTATGTCCTAAAAATATAATTATTTCCTCAGTGGAGTGGAATCCCTGAACAAAGGGTTCAAAATGTTTGAAACTCCTGATATATTCTACTATCTTCCATTCTAGAAAAGGTGGGCTAATATTGATTGCCTGTCTTCACTAGCACTGAATCTTAGCACTTAAAAATCTTTCCAGGGGCTCGTGGCTGGCTCAGTCAGTAGAGCAGGCGACTGCTGATCTCAGGGCCGTGAGTTTGAGCCCCATGTTGGGCATGGAGCCTACTTTAAAAAAAAAAAAAAAAAAGTTAAAAAAAAAACTTTCCAAATTTCAGGTGGACAAATGCTACTCCACTCTCACATTAATTTTTTATTATATTTTTTCAAGTTGTTTTAGTGCTTTACTTATTTTGAATTGAAATCTTAATGTTTTCATTGCTGTACTATATGAGCTCCTCACACATGAGGACATTAATGGTGGCAAATACTTTTCCCAGTTTATAATTTGGCTTTTGTTATTTTTCACATTAAAGGTTTAAACATTCTTTAACAGCTCTGTTGAGATATAACCCACATATTACACAATTCATTCTTTTAAAGTGTACACTCAATGGTTTTTAGCATATTTAGAGTTGTACAATTATCACCAGTCTATTTATAGAGTATTTTCATCCCCACTAAGAGAAACCTTGTACCCATTAGATGTCACTCTCCTTGTCACAGAAATAAAAGAACCCGAAAACAGTAAGGTCCTGCAAATAAAGAGAGTTCCGAGGGTGTGGTCAAGACTGCCAAATGTTATGGTGATCAAAATGAGGACTTAAGAGAGTCCCCTTGATTTAGTAACTAGGCAAAGAATATAGAGGGTCCTAGCAAAGAAAAGTCGTCGCTTTCAATGAGTCTCAAGGATAACCATTTTGACTAATTATGTTTTTAATTAACCACATCAGAGACGTTACAACTCCACAAACGCTGATTACCAAAGATGGAAGCTGAAGTTGCAACCTGGGAACCTCCTCCCCAACGCAAATTCTAATCTAGCCCCCCTGGGTTCTAAGCAGTGCACGCCAACCCAAGACGTTTCTGGAACTACGAGTCCCAAAAGGCCACGCGCCAGACAACCACTGACTCAGAAGATAAACTGAGCGCAAGACCTTTTGGGAACAGTAGTTTACGGCGCCGGCCTCAACGTGCAGACTCTGCATGCTTCCCACCAACTCCTTACTTTAGTTCTTCGGCCGAATACATCCCGAAGGAAATGCCCTGCAGCCTCCGCCAGGGCATGTTCTTTGAGCCCAACATCCTCCAGGTAAGTTTCAAGTTCTGACACCCAGAGAGAAGTTCCAATCACCACCGGCAACTTAACTCAGCCTCAAGCAGGCAGCCACCATGCGCTTTAAAATGCGCTTGCGCTCGAAGAAAGCTCGCTGGTTTGAGATTTACGTGGACGAGACCACTTCCACTGTAGGGGGGGGAAGTAATTTGATGACTTTCGCTCAAGACATATAAGTCACTAAAATAATAGTTTCGGAAAATTTCTTCGAGGAAAACGGGGCGTTTTGAGCCTTTAACTTCCGCAACAAAGTCTTTCAAACCACGAGCTTTTTTTAACCTAATTCTTGATCGCTTTTGTCTTGTTCCATCTCAGCCAATAGCCGAGCTATTCCCCGCCCCCCCCTTGGTGATCCTGAAGGTCGAGGTCACGCTTTCCCAGCATGCTACGCGAAGCCAAAGATGGCGGCGGTCGCGACGAGTCGTTGGCTGCGGTTCCGCTGCAAGCTTTGCCCGACCTTAAGGGGTCAGCGGGCAGGTCCGTGTGGACAGACTCCCAGTTGCAGGTAAGACACGCATGGAGAAGCCAAGAGAAAGACCCCCCCTGGCCAATTTCGTCCTCTGTGTCAACTTTTCCTTGAGAACTGGGGAGCTAGGTCCAATGGAGTGGGATGCGCCTGCGCAATTTCGCGGCCGCGTGGTTAGCCCGACATGCGGAGCTGGAGTCCTGGAAAAGGGGCTTGAGACTCAGGTGTTACCGCGTTATTTATTGGGTGGTTGGTTTATCCTAGAATTAAGAACTGTCGGCAAGATTAGGATCCTGCTCTCGTGGAGATTGCGTTTTAGTGAATGTGGCTAGTAGCAACCCCAAGTTTTAAGAATAGAAAAGTATGCGCCCTTACTCATTTTTATCAAACGGGGATCTCTGAAGATTTTCCCAAATTAAAGGCAGTTTATGAGGGCCACTGTGTGCTGGGTGTTGTGGGGATGGTTGGCCAAAGAAATTATCCAGGTTTTCATAAAAACAAGGAAGTCTAAAAGATTTGAGCACAGCCTTTGGATTGCTCTGATTGTCACACCTGAGAGTATGTATTTAATTTTTTTTCACTAATTACAGTGGTGGTGTGGAAATAAAGTCAGTAATTTGTAATGAAAAATTGGGAAAACCCCAATTTTGGATTCGATGTTTGTGCCATTTTTTTAGTTGATTAATCGACAGATTTTCTCTTTTGTAGACTGCAGCTAGTGATAACCATCCAAAAAATGGTGAGGAATAAGTGAGCTGTGTAACTTCAGATACACGTCTTATATGCAATACCTTCATGCAACTTCTCAAAAGAGAAAATGCTCCACCTAGTACTGTAGAAGCCTTAATGTTGCTGTCTATCCCAATCCTTTTCCTGGTAGCCTGACATTTTTCTATTCATTTCCTTTGCCTGACAGCAGCATCTCTCCCTCTGCATTTACCCACAGGACAACAGTGGTCACTATATCATAACGTCAGGAGAGACAGATAGTGTGATTTGAAAGAGTTGATCCCTCTCTGAAATTGATCCTTAGCAGAAAAGTATCGTTTTCAAATGATGCTTGAGACCAGATAGCAGTAGAGGAAGTGAATTTTCTGTCTGATCACATTCTGGCAATTTTAGGAATGGTACCAATGCCATGCAGGAAAGGAATACACAAGATAATAGTGCACATGACTGTGTGATATTTTGACTGTATTTCTTAGTGTTACTAGAACATTTTTAAAACTCAGTCATGAGTCAGTGGTTCTATATTTCGGATAAAAAATAATATCAGCAGTTTGAAGTTTAAATTAGGATGTACATATTTGGCAAATTCCTGATTGTCGAATGAAGTGGGATGAAAGCCCATGATGATCTTAGCTTAATAATTTATCATAATTGCTTTAAGTGGGGTACTCTTATCATCATTAGGCTGTTATTCATATAAAATCAGGAGCCCATAAAGTCGTCCCTCTTACCTCAGTATTTTAGATTACCAAAGTTGAAAGTCCCTTATATTTCAGATCAGCTACTTCAGTGGTTCAAGGGCTATTGAAATTTTTTCCCTGATTTTATTTAATGAGATTGATTAAAAAATGTTGACCATATTGTGTCCGTATCTTGTATCTATTTTGTAATGGTTTTGAACTTGCTGTTCAGGCCATGTCTTCTCGGTGTAATTGACATGAATCATTCAGTTATTTTGATCCATGACAATTGGAAAATTTGGGTTCAAAATGCACATAGGTGGAGGTGAAATGGAAACCTCGTTAATGAGTATTACTTTAGGGCTTTTATTTTTTGCAGATTTTATTCTGGAAGTGCAACCGTCCCAAAGGCTGAAGGAGCTAACGTAACAGGTATATAAAAATATACTGAAATAATTTCGTTTCTGTGTTAACAAATCGCACTTATTTGTAGTAGTAGTAGTAGTAGTATTCGGAAACCAATTTACTTTTGTTTTATTTTCCAAATTAAGGGATTGAAGAAGTGGTCATTCCAAAAAAGAAAACTTGGTGAGTATTCAGTGTTCATTCAAGTGACTGAGTGCAAAACATTTGTAGGTAAGGAGGCAGTAACATGAAGAAAAATAGAGAGCATTCCTCGAGACAAAATAGCTGATGGGAGAAAAACTTGGGAGATGAAAAAGAACATAAAGAGGAAGGTGGAGAGTAGTGAGTGAATGGGGCATGAGATTTACATAGATCTTCTGAACTGAGCTTTGGTTAATAGTTAAATAATAATGGTTAATTATGAACGTCATTATTAGAATAACTTTTTTTCATTTAAGGAAGTTCTTAGAAGATTGAGAGACCAGACAGAAGTGTTATCCTTACAGTCTTTAATAAAGTGAAATAATATAGTGTGGACAGAGTTTAGTCTTTTTCAGCTAACTAGGTAGATCTTTGAATAAATTGCCTTATTCAACATTTGTTGAATATGTGAGAACTGAAACTTCTCCACAGAATTCTTACAGTAATGATTTTGAATGCATTTTATGACCCTCAAAAAGCCAGGTATTCTCCAAGTAGGACCTGAAGACTCAAGTTCATTTAAAAAAAGAAAAAACTTTATTAAATTACAGAAGTAATAACTATTGGGGGCGGCTAAATGCAAGAAGGAAATAAAATTACCAGCAATCACTACTCAGAGGCAGGTTACTTAACCTATCTATCCCATAGTAAAACGTGGATAACAACAGCACCAGGCTCAAAGGAATAAAGGAGCATTTGAATAGTGCCTTCCACATAGCTCTCAGAAAATCACTATTTTAAAGTTCTGGGGTATAACTTTTTTTTATATAAATTACAGTTGATCCTTGAATAACGTGGATTTGAACTGCGTGGGTCCATTATGTTTTTCCATAAATACAGTACAGTATTCTTACGGTTTTCTCTTTTTTTTTTTTTTTAAGGTTTTATTTATTTGACAGAGAGAGACACAGCGAGAGAGGGAACACAGGCAGGGGGAGTGGGAGAGGGAGAAGCAGGCTTCCCGCCGAGCAGGGAGTCCGATGTGGGGCTCAATCCCAGGACCCTGGGATCATGACCTGAGCCGAAGGCAGATGCTTAACAACTGAGCCACCCAGGCGCCCTTACGGTTTTCTTAAAAAAAAATTTTCTCTAGCTTACTTTATAAGAATACAGCGTGTAACACACTTAACATACAAAATATGCATTAATTGTTCATGTTATCAGAAAGCCTTCAGTCAACAGGCTATTAAGTTTGGGAAGAGTCGGAAGTTACACATGGATTTTTGACTCTGTAGGGGCACGGGAGTTGGTTGGCACCCCTTGTTCAAGGGTCAGCTATATACATTTAGTTCAGGAGAATTGATTTGTGTCTATAAATGATGCACTTTCTTGAATGGCATTCATGTCCAAAGCACTTTACCAACCCACTGTGCCTCTGTCCCTGAGGAAGGTACTACAGGGAATACAAAAGAGGGAAAATTTGGAGGATGTGCTCAGACGGTTTATGATATAGTTGAGTCACATGCATATTTTATGTTTTACGTCTTACGTAAGTACTAATTTTATACACGTTGCTGGAGGCACACAGGATGTGATATAATCAATAATTGTATTATACTAATCAAGGGGAGTTTTATTGAAAATGTAGAAATTTACTTGTGCCTTAAATGAGTAAGGTTATTTTGTTGGAATCAGAATCACCAGGGAATTTTTTTTTTAAATGCATATCCCTGTAGGTATTCTTGTGAACCCCTAAAGTATGAGACCTACAGAAACAGAGAACAGTAAGGTAGAGTGGGACATGACCGTGACATATTTGCTCGTAGGAAGAGGCCAAGCAGACAATCCTGTGAAAAATGCTCTGTTAGAATAAGGGAAATAGGTAGCTGATATAGAGCATTGGTCAGTAAACTGGGGCCCATTTGTTTATAGCCCAGGAACCAAGAATGGTTTTTACATTTTTTTATACTTGAAAAAAGTGAAAAGACTTTCATGACCATGTGAAAATTACATGAATTTTAAATTTCAGTGTCAGCTAAAATTGTTTTTGAGTGTAGCCTCATTTGCTGACGTTGTCTGTGGCTACCTTTATGCTATACTGGCATAACATACAACAGGGTCCCTGTGACCTATAAAGTAAAAAATACTATTTGTTTCCTTACAGAGAAAGTGATGATTTCTTTGTTCAGGAATTCAGGCTTTTAGACCTGGAAGAAGCCGTAAGGACTACAAATTGTTGTTGGCCTTATTTTAGATATGCGTCACTTTTTAAGAGTGATTTCCTAGATCACTCAGGTAACTTAGAAGACTTTAACAAATTATACAGGGTCATTGTGCGTTTTCATAGATGAATGTAATGTGATAAAGGCAGTGTTGTGAACAGGTTAATTTGAATTGTATAGTGGTTTTAGGGATGACAGGGAGTCCAGTTATAATCAATGCATAGGCACCTGGGTCCTAAAAGAAATAGATACTAAAACTTATTAGAGGGGTACCTGGGTGGCTCAGTTGGTTAAACATTTGACTCTTGATCTCAGGGTCATGAATTCAAGCCCCACATTTAAGAACAAAACAAAACAAAAAAACTGTTAGACTGGCACCAAGAAGATGTGGAGAAATGGATGCTCAGATAAATGTGTTGATAGGGCACTCAATTGGATTAATACTTTGGAGGAAAGTTTGCCAAATCATAATTTAAAATGTGTATACCTTATTGATTAGCTATTCTAGAGGAACACTTGGCATAAATCCAGAGACATGTTTTTTATAACTTGGGAATAATAATAAGTTGAGACAGTCTAAACACCCATGGATAAGTAAGTGGATAATGAGAAGTGGTTATCATTTAGAGGAATTAATTAGATTTATATGTAGTAACATGGATAATACAAATTTACATAAGCAAATGTATAGAATGACAGTATGTGTTTGTGTGTGTAAGAGAGAGAGAGAGAGAAAGTACTTTAAAAGTTCTGGAAATACAAAAACCAAACTTATGGTGCCTGGCTGACTCACTCAGTAGAGCATGCAACTCTTGATCTCAGGCTTGTAAGTTTGAGCCCCACATTGGGTATAGAGAAATAAATACCAAACCCGGAGTAAGGGGGCGGTCCACAAGATGACACCATAACCTGTAATGTTCTAATTTATTTTTTAGGGATAATGTATCCATTGAGGTTGCTTTTTAAAATAACCCTTTTTTAAAAAGAGAACTAGTGAGTAATCTGAATGTCATAATTTTCTTTTGTCCTTTGTTCAGTATGTTAGGAGGATATGTTGACTTGATGAGACATACATGCTAATGTAAACTTTATGGAATGCTAAGAGATGACAGGATGTCTTTGTCTCCATGGAATTACATAAATGTGATTTTTAAAAATGGATAGATAACCCAGTGGATTTTATACACGTCAGGGAATTATTCAGTCTTGATATGATAATAAAATTTCCTGTATGTTTTGTCTGTTTGAAATGATTTATGTTATAAATATTATATTAAGCTTTTTTTTAGAAAAATGCTTTTGGTTTATTAAATTTACTTCACTTTTGGAAATGAAACACATAAAATGTAAAAGGAATAAAAATATATTTGGAAACAAATTATCTTGATTTGTCTATTTGGTGAAATCTCCTTTTCCAGTAGTTAGTGAGGGTCTCCACCCATAGCACAGTGGACAGCTGGTTTGAAATTTTTATAAAGGGTATATAATTGAGAGGTTCTAAATGAGGAGAGTATAGCAGAATCATCCAGGAGTTCAGTAAGAATGTATGTGACAGTCCTCCATGGAACTTGGAGGATTTGATTCAGGAAGTCCAGAGTGCATCTTCTGATTTATTCTCATATATAGCTGAGTTAAGAGCCACCACTTTAAAAAAAAAAAAGCCGCCACTTTAGATAAAAGAAGCAAGAGTAGCCCAGAAAGTGCAATAAGAATGCATAGGAAAATGGGGCCCCTGAGTTTGAGCCCCATTTAAATAGAGATATTTAAAAATAAATCTTAAAATAAAATCTTAAAAAAAAGAATGCATAGGAAAATGGCTCGGACAAGGTAAGATTCAGGGTAGATAGTTTTATGAGCTAGGAGTGGGACTCGCTGGCCCTTTGGAGATGGTATGGTGGACAATGCCAGAGAGGGTAGGCAAAGTATATTAGGAACATGTACTACCCACCTTTAGGCAAAAGAATAGGACTGTTCTCTCATTTTCTAGCTTGTTTTTCTAGTGATCTTGAGAAATAAGAACTGGCTTTAGTTGAGACCTGAACTTTTTATTGGCCAATCCATACTGAGAGTGGAATCACTTGTTCATTTTGTGGGTATGGAAATCCCTGACATGGGTCAACTTGTGGTTCTTGTTCTTAGGGATAAAGTGGCTGTTCTTCAAGCACTTGCGTCCACAGTGAATAGGGTAAGTAGGAATTTTAGGTTTTTGTTGTGGGTCTTGAAAGTTTCTTAGAAATGATCTAATCCAGTCCATTCATGTGACAAATGGGGAAACTAAGCTTTTAAAGGAACTGGCTCTGAAAGTCCTTGACTTAGGCCCAAGTCTTTTATCTTCAAATTTTTTTTTTTTTTTTTTGGCTTGGGTGTGATACTGTAATGCAAGTGATTTGTAGACCAACTTTGAGAAGTACTGTATCTACCATGCTGTAAATTATGTAAGAATGTGGGTCTTGGAGCCAGTGTTTTGTTTCATAGCTGAGCAACTAGCTTTGTGATCTGCATCAAAAAGTTATTTTATCTCTTGACACTTCTTTGTGTTTGTAAAGTGTGGATTAATTATAGCATCAGACTTCAAGGTTATAGTGAGAATTAGTACATAATTAAGGGATTTAGGGCAGTGCCTAGCACAAAAGAAGTGCTCCTTAAATGCTGGCTATTTTATTATTACTGCAACCATTTTAGTGAGATATTTGTCAATAACTTGCTCTGTTGACAATTCAAAAACAGTTTGTAGTCTGATAGATAAACTGAAACCTTGGTAAATGCCTCAGAAATGGAACATTTTTTTTCTTTTAAGTAATCTCTACACCCAACGTGAGGCTCACACTCACAACCCTGAGATCAGGAGTCTCATGGTCTACTGAGTGAGCCAGCCAGGCGCCCCGGAAATGGAACTTTCTGACTGATTATATTTTTTGTTCTATGAAAACTATACTTTTAATTTCAACTATGGGGATAATGTCCAAAATAATGAAGACATTAACTGCTGCAATATCTGCATGGATACTAAGCCTCTTTTAAGGCCATTGTCACAGATTTCCAGAATTGTTTTCTATTGTAGATGTTAAACTTAAGGAGTATTGGGCCAAATATACCCTGATATATCCTAACAGTTTCTCAGAAGGGGTTTTTATAATCATCTCCACGCTAGCAACACATTGAGATTTTCAGCGGTTCACTTATCTCTAAATAGGCACCTGAAATGTAAACTAGAGTAATGGTCCTCTGAGACTGATCTCAGTTTTTTAATGAGAATGGCCTTCAAATCAAAGAAGTTGTAGAATTATGTGTGCAGTTGTCTGATTTGTCTAGGTTTGGGCCCTTAAAATCCAAGGTCTAGTCACTTATTCATTCAGTAACCACATATTCCACCCTTCTGATGCTTACCAGGCACTGTGCGGGATGTAGACTAAACTCAGCCCTTGCGCAGTTCCTAGAGAGGGGGCAGGAAGGAGCACTGAGGAGAGGGTATGGAACCCAGGCTGGGGAAGGACTTCCAGAGGAGCTGATAATTGGATTGCTGCTAGGAAGGTGAGCGGCAAGGCTGCTGTGGTGGGAAAGGGCATTCCTAGCAGAGGCGGCACGGTGCACAGAGGCACAAAGGCACAGGACGCGTCGTCGGCGCGGTAGGAGTGGAGGGTTTGAAGGGTGGGGAATTAGAAATAGGCAGGATGATGAGCGCTGCGCTGGGCACTCAGGTCCTCTGAAGAGTTTTAAGCAGTGGTAGAGTAACCAGATTTTAGAAAAGACAGTCCTGTGGAGATGGGAAACCTTTCAACTTTAATGTAGCATAAAGATCCTAAAACTAACATGTCCAAACCCAAACCTTTGCCGTCTCCTCAACAGCAACTCCATTATTCTGATTGCTCAAGTCAAAACCCTAGGGGTTACCTGTGCCTCGTCTTTCTCTTACGCTGCACATTAGTAAATCCTTTGTTTCTTCCTTCAAGATACATGTGCATGGAGTCCCAAGACCACTCCCTGGTTCAGTGATTGGCTAGGAGGACTCCCAGGACTCAGCATATAGTCCTACAGCTATGATTTATTATAGAAAAAGGTTACAAAGCAAAGTCGACCAAGGGAAAAGGCACATGGGGTGAAATCCAAAAGAAACCAGGCGCAAGTTTCCAAGAGTCCTTTCCCAGTGGAGTCACATAGGACACGTTTAATTCCTCTAGCCGAGTTGTGACAGCACGTGTGAAACATCTGCCACAAAAGCTCATTAGGAACTCAGGGCCCAGAGGTTTTTTTGGTGTCTGGCCACATAGGCACCCTGTGCCTGGCACATATCAGAATTCCAAACTTTCAGAAGGAAGGCAGGAGTTCACTGTAAGCCACATTTGTACAAACAGTTTAGGCACAGTGAGCCAATCTTATCAGTACTGGGGATGGTGGGAACCCTCCCAAATCCAGGTTTCCACGTGCCAGCCAAGGGCAAGCCTTGCAAGCAGACCTAAGGACAGCAGTCACCAGCCTGGTAACTCTTTCTACACATTATCAGATTTTAAATTCTTGTCATCATCACCACGACGGCTTTAGTCATCTAAGTCATCATCATCATCTCTTACTGCCCTGGACGGATCACAGCTCTCTCTTCACTGCCCAAGCTCCTCGCAGACTGCTCGCAGTTAGGCAGCCCTAATGATCCCCAGTAAAATATTGGATCACGTCACTCCTTCCTGAGAACTCAAGTGGCCTCACATTTGTCATAATTGGGGTAAAAACTGAAGTCCATATGAGGGCTCCTAAGGCCCTCCTATGATCCTCCCCACCCCCACATTCTCTCTCTGACAGCGTCTCTTGCTGTCTTCCCGGGCGCCCTACCCGAGCATCGAGGGCCTCCTGGCTAATTCTCAGTTTCCCAGCAGGCACACCTCTGCCTCAGGGTCTAGGGTTTGCTGTTCGTTCTGCCTGGATACTCACATTACTCGCTCCCTCACCTGCTTAGCTCCTTGCCTCAGTGTCACTTTTTCAGTGAGGCCTTCCCTGACCATCCCACTTAGGTTGTAGATCTGCTACTTGTCCCTTTTTCTACTTCATTTTTCTGCATAGCAGTTATCTGTTTTTAATTCACTACATATTGTTTATTTTTACTTTCTGGAGTTTCCCCCCCCACTAGACTGTAAGCTTTATTGGGGTAGGGGGTGATCTTATTGTCTCCCTTGTAGCTAGAAAAATGCCTGGCACATAGGAGGTGCTCTATAAATAATGAATAGGAAGGCACTGAACTATGGCCATGGCAGTTGGGATAAGGGACAGTAGAGTTGGTAGGGGAAGTTAAGGAACTAGCGTTGGTTGGATCTGATGATAGCTCAGTTGAATGGAAGTAGTGGGACAGGATCTACAGGTTGGACTGCAGAGTGGTCAGTACCATTCACTGAGAGAAGACAGGACAGGTAGTAGCTTCAGGAAAGTTCACTTTGGGGATCCGTTTGGTTCGAGGCATCTGAGCTACAGGGCCAGAGTGGAATTGTTTCACACAGACCGTGGAGGACTTGGAAATCGTGGAGGGAGGGAAATTGGGAGATAAATAGGAAGAATAAGTCTAGTAAGTTAAAAGAAGTCCAGCATGTCACCAAAACTAGAGGCCTTAAACAGGTGTCTAACAAGGGTGGTTTAGAGGATCAGAACCAGAGCCAGGCACTGGTTTGTAATCAAGGAGTGAGTAGTCCAGGGCAACTAACCTAGAACTGCCACCTCTGGTTTACCATTACATGACTGCCTCATTTAGTAGAGTGACATGACTGGGTGAAATGAGCCTCCCATGAGTATGAAGGGATATGGGTTTTGAAAGTGGCAGCAGGAAGCTGAGACACACACCCCCCCCCCCGCCCCCAAAAAAATCCTACCTCCAGGCCTTAGGTATGAGCAGCCTTCCCTTGAGAGCTGCGGGGAAGCTGTCCCTTGGAGAGTCCCAAGTAAGTAAGACAGGGCATGAAGGGGACAGTCAGGAGATATTCTGGATATAGGGTGAGTTTTTCCTATGGAACAAAGGTCCCAGAAGGCCCAGGAAAGGCGGTTCCAAAGTAGAAGAGAGGAATAGAGAAAGTAATTGCGGGGCGGGTTTTCAGTGAGTGGTACTGAAGAGTTTTGTTCAGGGTTCTCCTCTTAGAACAGTGTGAAGAAGTGTATAGAACCTCCGGCAATAGGACGCAGGAGAAGCTGCTGTTTGCTCCTTCCCAGAGGGCACAACAGTATCTTCCGTTTGGAGGAGGGATTCTTGGGTGGGTAGTGGCCAGGCTTTGAAGGAGTGCAGGACACTGGTGCCCATACTAGTTAATTCAGAGGATCTTTCGTTTAAAAAATCAGTAGTTCCTGGTAGCACCCTCAAATCTTAAGAAGTAGTCATGGGGGTTTAAGCCATTGTTTGCTTGGTGTGTAATGACAGAGCTGAGAGTATGGTAGAGGTATTGGGGTTTCTTTCACTATACACACACAAATTTCTGTATGTGTTACATATGTAATTAAAACTTACTTTACAGAGTTTTTGGTCATCAAAACTCAAGATCTTAGTGAAAAATCTAACTAAAGAGATTTCTATGTCTTCATAGGACATCACAGCTGCCCCTTACGCATTTCAGGATGACCCTTACCTCATACCAACATCCTCTGTGGAATCTGTGAGTGTTCTTATGTAGTTTTTCTAGCGTTATGTTTTATCTTGCTTGTTTGGGTGCAACCACGGATATAGAATTTAGCTTTGGTGTAAAAACCTTTGAAAAGGTAACAGTTTCAAAGTTTTAGAGATTGGCTGTGGAAGGGATTTGGGATTTAATACGTAGGGCTCTTTGACACTGGAGCAGTCCACTCGGTTTCAGTGTACTGGTTTTATGTACCCCAAGCTGTATATAAGATGTGACCTAAAATGTCACACTTGGTAGCAGAGGTGGATATATAATGATGTGTAATTTAACTTCTAATTGGGTTTCTATGTATTGTTGCATTCTTTGAGGGGGAGGCTTGCTGAGGGTACAATTTTTATCTCTTGAGTCAGTTTAAATCTTTTTCTTTATATAGCGTTCATTTTTATTGGCAAAGAAGTCTGGGGAGAATGCAGCAAAGTTTATTATTAATTCCCATCCCAAGTACTTTCAGAAGGACATAGCTGAACCTCATATACCGGTAAGGAGAGGTAATAGTGGTTTTTCGGGTATTACTACATATATGTAAATTAAACCACGTTTTCATGGCTAATATTTCAGTAGCCACTTGAATGTCCTCAGTATTGGGTGAAGTCTTTTGATGTGTATGGTTATCTTTGCTTACACTAGTAACTTTTTTTTTTTTTTTTTTTTAAACTCCTGTCTGTATTTGCTCCTCATCCTGTTTTCCCTATTTGGCTTCTGTGATGCCAGAATCTTAGGTCTTTACCTCTGTGACTGTTCTTTTCAGTTTTCTTCAGTAGCTTTTCTATCCACCCCTTGAATGTGGAGGTCTTGTCCCAGATCCGTCTACTTTGATAGTCTAGTGTCCTGGTTTCTCTTTAGAGTGTGTCACCCCTTCTGCCTTTTGCTTTGAACTCCAAATTGTATTTCCAACTACCTCCGCGTCCTGTAGTCATGAAGCGTGAATGTCGTGCGGTGCGCTGCGTGTTAGCCATTGTGCTCGGTGCCGGTGTTACAGTGACCAGCAGAACAGAGGCACCTCTGCCCTCCTGGGTTTATTAGTGGAGATAGTAACCTCAGGCTCATGTCCCAGACTCCTTTCTTCCTGAAAGGCATGCACCCAGGCACAGCCTTCTCAAGCAGCATCTACCAGTGACAAAGTAGGAGGTCAGTGTGATTGTGCAGGTGACAGTGCCAGAGTCCCATGTGGGAACAGCAGCAGTGATGGCCCCCGAGCCCTTGGATGTTTCTAATTAGCAGTTATACTCTTCTGTGCTAATGAGCTCACTTCGCTTGATGCCTTCCATGGGTCCCTGCCTCCCGGACAGACAGCACTGTCACACCTTCCAGATCTTGTCATTTACATTCCCGCTGTGCTATGATTATTTCCTTTCTTGCTTTCTCTGTTAGATGCAGAGAACCCTGGAGGTAGAGAAGGACTTCGATCTGTGCCTCCAATGCCTCGCTTTGTGCCTGGCAGAAAATGGCATTCAATAAGTATTGAAATAAACTAGTGAGTGAGGTAAAATCAGCATACCTTGGTGATGGTCAGTGTTTTTAGAGTGAAAGAAGCATCAGGGCTGAAAGGTTTCTGCCTTTGCAAACCAGGTATACTCTTGACACTTTGAAACAAGATTGGAAGGAAAGGAGAAAGGGTAGTTTTCGGCAGGGGATGAGAAAAGTTCAACTTGAGGGTGGGGAAGTTAGTTGGAAACCGGATTCTTTGGATATGAATTAAATATTTATTTATTTTGGGGTGCTTTTAAATTCTCCCTGAGCTAGGAGATAGCTAATTGACCTTGTTTTGGATCCTGGAGGGGTTCTTCGATTTTTTTTTTTTTTTTTTTAAGTTCTAGTCCCTACGAAGATCTACACTTGGTGCCTGGTCTTGAAACATGAATTGGGACAGTGAAGTTTGATTTTGGTGTGTTGGTGATAAAAGTTTAGTCCTGCTCCCTTTTACCTGTTTGTGGTAACTAGCCATTTTCTTTTCCTAGTGTTTAATGCCTGAGTACTTTGAACCTCAGATTGAAGATATAAGTGAAGCAGCCTTGAGGGAAAGAATCAAACTCAAAAAAGTCAAAGCTTCTGTGGACATGTTTGATCAACTCTTGCAAGCAGGTGACTCAGTTCATTTAAAGCACCCCTAGGAGCGTGGGCTTGGAAGTGGGCTGTGGTTACGTGACCCTGCTGGTTGTGAGTAAAAGTTACAAGGATCTCTGCTTGATGCAGTATTTATGCTTTTAACATTTAATAATATTTCAAGTTCTGCTTCAGCTCTCCTTTCAAAGTATAAGTGAAATCAGTGAGATGGAGTTGCAACTTAGTTTACTGTGCTCTTGGGCTGTATTGTGCAGCAGATAGAGAAATTATAGAGCCATTCTTCCTTGGCTTCCATTTTTAACATTAGGCATGTACATACTGTATTCAGATTTCTTGTACTCTTTAAATATGTTTAGAGACATAGACAAGAAAGGAATATTTAAAAAGGAGCACTAAACTGGGATACTGATTCTAACTCTGACACTAATTAGCTCTGTGGCCTTGGAAAAAAATCCCTTAATTTCTCAGAATATCTGTCTCTCATTCTCTGGCTCTCTGACTTTGATCTGGATGACCCTCTAGCGGAAAAGATCTAAACTGCATGGCTTGTCCACTACCAGGGGAAGAATGTACCTGCAGTGATATCAAAGGCAGCAGGATTGTAAGTTAGTGGACTCCAGAGTGCTGCTCAGTGACTTAGGATAACAAGCAATCAAACACAGAAGAGATAGGAAATGGACTGAATCAGTGTATTCTCGAACACAAGAAACCTTTACAGAAAGCTGTATTTGATTTGAGAATTTTGGTTTGTTGTCTGCTCTGGCATTGGATACACACATGAATTGCTGATGCACATTATAATTTAGGGAGGCTTTTGCCTCTGCTCGTTGAATATGGTAAATGCTAAGACTGCATTCAAGTACTTAGTGCTCAGACCGGTCTTTAGTTTCATACCCTGTGCTGTAGGCACATGAAGGCATTCAGTAACGGTTCTAAAGACGGCGTGTCAGACCCACAGCTCGGAGTAACAGAACAAGCCACTATGCCGTGGGGGGGATTAGAGGAAGTTTTACTAACAAGCCCCTAATAAGTACCAAACAATTTGTTTGGCATTTCACATACCTAATTTAATTCTATTATGCTCTGTGTTTTATAATCATTTTATAAAGAAAGCTGGTTATTAAGTTTCCAGGGATACACAGTTCTGAGATAGTAAGATCATCCAGTCCAGTTTCCCTCCATAGCCTCTCTTCTCTCTACTCTGCCATGCTCTTTTCTGAGCTTTTAAATTTCCCAATTGGCATTTTTATTATCAGTATATTTTCTTTAGAAAAATAATACTTCCTGTTCCCTTTTTTTCCCTAGTGTCAAGACGGGAACATAACGTTTTTGAGTATCACTTTTTTTTTTCTTTTAAGATTTTATTAATTAGAGAGCACAAGCAGGGGGAGTGGCAGGCAGAGGCAGAGGGAGAAGCAGGCTCCCCACAGAGAAGGGGGAGCCCGATGTGGGGCTTGATCCCAGGAGTCCGGGATCATGACCTGAGCCGAAGGCAGTCGCTTAACCGACTGAGCCACCCAGGCGCCGAGTATCACTTTTTTAAAAACGACTATAATGAGACATTTATGCTAGTATTTCTAGGCAAGGATTCCAGTGAGGGCCTGGATCCAAGTGGAATAGTTCTGCTTGCATTTGTTAAAAAATGGAACTGGGCCAGGGGAATTAAGTGGCAGTAATTTGCAGAGTGTTCAGTTTGGAAACAGTAGTTAAAACCTTGAGATCGTTTCTCTGGGGACGTGAGTATGTAAAATAAGTGAGCACGGGGTCAGCATTGTCTGTGCTTTAGTCCTTCCTGTCAGACCGCATGGTTCGTAGGGATTGTCCCTGTCTGCGTTCCTCCGAGTTGACGTGGAGTGCATACTCATCCATTCTTAGAACGGTGCATGACACTAAATACAAGCCACGAAAGCCACAGTTTGTAGAAAAAGTGAAGAATTTTAATCCATTGAGCTTCAGTTCTTTATTATTTCAATGTTTCTTTCCCTTTTTTTCTCCTACCCACAGGAACCACTATATCTTTGGAAACAAGTAATAGTCTCTTGGATTTGTTGTGTTACTATGGTGACAAGGAGCCCCCAGCTGATTATCATTTTCAGAAAAGTGAAAAATCAGAAGAGTTGGTAATGGATTTTGGCAGTGATTTTTTTTTAAAATTTCTTTTGATAGTAATAACCATCTCAACGTAAGGCAGGTTCTTAAGCCATATGTTAGGAGAGTAGAGATTTGTTCTGAGACGTGATGTGGTATAGTAGCTTTGATAAAAAGTGGTTTGGAGGAGGAAAGATTAAAACAATTATTTTAATTCTGGTTTCCTTCTTAAAAATATTTTGACCTTGCCTACCACATGCAGGCAAAGCTTTGACCAGAAATGTTTAGGCAAATTCTTCTTTTGTTGTTACAGTGACCATATGATGTGTAAGGAACAGGGAAAGACTCCAGGGCCCCAGCCCCCCCAAAAAATGCATACACAACATGGACAGAGAGGAGTGAGCACACTGCTGGGGCTATAGAGCAGGTATTGTGCCAAGGGCTGGCCTGTAGATAGGGAGTCCTATCTTAATTTCTCAACCCAAGAGTTTTATTTCTAGAAAAAGATCCCAAGGACATCTTTAGGTCATGTGAACAAAGATTATATACGTCATTTTCATAATATTCATACACGTAGTTACAAAAATGTGGAAAACTGGATGTCCAGTGGCATGTCATTGGATTATGGTAATGTGGTGATGGTGTAGTGTAGGTCTATTTGGCTATGGAAAGATGCACCATATATTGATAAGTGAGAAGATAGGCAGACAATAATATTTCATTTTTATGAAATATTTTCGTATGCATGAGGAAAAATTTCCGTTTATGTCTAATTTTCCTCCACTAAATATGGAGTATTTACATAGAGAGTAATTAAGTCTTTTAAAATGTATAGGCATATACATTATTTCTGTGTGGATCAAGCTAGATAGAGCCAGCTCAAGCCAGGCTGTGTTTGGATTTTCGGTTCCTCTCTCTGAGCAAGGCTATGCAGGGAACTGGCTTCATCTATCTCCAGGCCGTCAGTTCTCGTTTTAAGTGCTAACTTTACTTTTCATCTCTCAGTGAGCTGATTTATGCTGAAAAAATTACCAGTTTTTTAAATGAACACTTACTGGGTTTTTTTCTTCACCTTCTGTTGGATCTGTATTTTATTTTTCTGAAGTTTCCTTTGCCTTTCTGGGATTTTAAGTATTCTACGTAGGAAAATGCATTGCATTGTCATTTTTTTGTTTTATTTCTGTTGATGGTTCATTTCAGGAGGAGGCCGCAGAGGAAAATGATGAGAAATCTAAGAAGGCTGATCATCAGTTTGGAGTCACATGGAGGTATGTTACACATCGTTAGAACCTTGTAGTATGGTTTTTTATGGTACTTGGCATGTTCCCGAAGAGGTGCTCCTGAAGTTTTCTAAAATAAAATTTGTTTTTAGCATACAATACAAATGTGACCTTGGTATTCATATGCGTTTAGAGCTCGTTCCATAAGATCTTTACTTCCAACCAGCAGTACAAGGTTGACAATTCATTCTTCGTAGCCCCCCCCACCTCATTTCACTTCATGTCACCTTCACATAATGTTGGTTTCTTAGGTAGTTTCATCAGTGCTACTCTGCAATAAGTACCTCCTGTTGTGAAAGATTGGCTAATTTTGTTTAAGTAAGAATACACATACACTAGAATGTCGTTCTAAATTAAGGCTACTGGCCAGCAAGCAGAAATACTCAGTGTTTCCAGACAAAAGGTGAGTAATGTTTAACTAACATTTCAGAATTTAAGTTAACTGAATAGAAATGTGTAAGAGAGATTTCACGTGGACATCTGGAGGAGAGCTACCATTAATATCTGAAGTCTTTTGAAGTGATGAATAGAATCAAACATTAAGTTTCTTTAGTAGATTTTAATAATTTCGCATAATGGTTAAGAGCATGGACTTTGGCATACCATCCTGGCTCAAATCCTGCTTCTGATTTCCAAGACCTCTGTAAAGAGGCAGAAGCAAGATACAGCATGGTCTGTATAACATGGGTACATTGATTGATCGATTGGTTGGTTGGTTGATAGGGAGAAGGAAGGAAGGACGATGCACCAGAGTGTGACACGTACACGCTAGAATACGGGAGAGAGATTCTGGAGAAACTGCTTGTTCTTGGTGGCCTCTGGGGAGTTGTATATGGTTGAGAGAGGGTGGGGAAACTTCACTGTGTACCCTCTGTACACTTTGCCTTTTGTTTAGTATTGTGAGTATATATTTTTTGTAAAAATTTTCAGTCCTGGTTCTGTCATTTAACCACCAAGATGCAGACCACTTGAGGTTTTTGAGCCTCAGTTTTTCCCATTTTTCAGAATGATAACCATGTCTCTCTCTCTCTCTCTGTCTGGATGGTAGGAATTGTGTGTATGAAGTGCTTGGCACAGTGCTTGGAACATTTTGAACTCACAAGAGATTGTGATAACTATTGGTTTTTCGTGTTTCCCCTGGTTCATTTACTCTTCCTGTGTCTAGGGCAAAAAACAATGCTGAGAGAATCTTCGCTCTAATGCCAGAGAAAAACTCACACTCCTACTGCACAATGATCCGGGGAATGGTGAAGGTAACATTTATTTTTCTATTTTTATCTTTAATTTCCACTAAATCAGGATTTTTCACCCTCAGAATTATTGACAGCTGGGCCAGATAATTTGTCGTAGGGGCTCTCCAGTGCAACATAGAGTGTTTAGAAGCTCCCTGTTCTCTACCCACTGCATATCATCAGTACTACATCCTCCCCAGCCCTCAGCTGTGACAACTAGAAATATCACCAGGAATTGCCACATGTCACCTGGGAGGCAAAATTTCCACAGCAGTGGATTATAAACTTCATGAGAACCAGGACCTTGTCTGTTTTGTTTACTGCTGTATTCTCAAACCCTAAAACAGTAAATGTGCAAGTATTTCTTAAGTCAACATGTTAGAGGTTGCTTAATGTTTATGCTTTCTCTGTCCTAGCACCGAGCTCCTGTGCAGGCATTAAACTTGTACACTGAATTATTAAACAACAGACTCCATGGTAGGTGTGTTTGTGGAGAATTCCTTTTCTTTCCTTAAGAATCTGTAATATCTGGGATGCCTGGGTGGCTCAGTTGGTTGAGCATCTGCCTTCAGTTGAGGTCATGATCCTGGGTCCTGGGATCAAGTCCCACATCGGGCTCCCTGCTCAGCGGGGAGCCTGCTTCTCCCTCTGCCTGCCGCTCCCCCTGCTGTGGTATCTCTGTCTCTCTCTGACAAATAAATCTTAAAAAAAAAAAAAATCTGTAACATCTTCGAATCCGCAAAATATTTGGATCTTGCCTCAATTACGAGCTCAGTTTTTATCTTTTCATGTAGCATTGGTATTCATTGGCATATATAGAAGCAGGAGGAGAGATCCAGAGCAGGGGGTGATTGTCTAGTGTTGTGGGCACACAACACAACAACAACAAGTGAGCTAGGAGCCACATGTGTATTACTTCTTTGCCTTAAACTGAGGCATTTAGGGGTTAAATTTCAACCCATATTTTTTGTTTACAGCTGATGTGTACACCTTCAACGCATTGATTGAAGCAACAGCATTGAGTGTGAATAAGAAATTGGAGGACAAATGGAATAATATACTGGTAAGGAGGAGCCCTCATTTTGTCTTCTGATGGGCCTAAAATACCTTTTCCTAGAAATAAAGGGGGTAGAGAGAGCATATTTTGCACATTTTCATGGCAGGTACAACAATGCTGGGCACTCAGCGGTTGTGTGTTTACATCCTCCCAGCAACCCTGTAGTTTAAGTAGCCGTGTCTGACATGTGAGAAGAAATGTTAACTGACCCAGAGTTCAGAAGGACCTCAGTTGCTTTATTTCTCATCATAGTTTTTTAATTACAAAAATGTGTATTAACTGAAACATTTTAAGTTTGAAAAATTATATTCATTGGATTTAAATAACTTAGGAATAGAAATGTTTTTATGTTTTTACACCATACGGTTTATGTGTCTTTATACCATACTGCTGCTCATTTTACAGGAAAACACTCCAGTTTATTCTAGTCTGTTCTTCTGCTTTACTAGGCGGGGTGAAGACAGTTGGGACACCTTGATCAAGTGAGGTGGGGTGACTGAATGGGGTAACTTCTCTAAAAGGCAAAGTCACTGGTCCTGCTAATAGATAATTCTTAAATTAGGGATATATTTAGTAACGTTAGACTCAGCCAGAGAGCCAAATTATTTTTAGTGTGTAATATTAGTTAATTGGACAAATTACCTACCCAGGCATAAACAAGACTTACGCTTTTGACTCAACTAGGAGCTGCTAAAACAAATGGCTGCACAGAAGGTGAAACCAAATCTACAGACATTTAATACCATTCTGAAATGCCTCCGGAGATTTCATGTATTTGGAAGATTGCCAGCCTTACAGACCTTTCGTGAAATGAAAGCCATCGGAATAGGTATGTGTCATGTCCCTCCCTGGAGGCTGAGCCAGTGCTGGCCAGAAGTCTTAGATGCAGACAGGGAGAAAAGAGATGGTAAACTTTTTGGGCGCCTGGGTGGCTCAGTTGGTTAAGCGACTGCCTTCGGCTCAGGTCATGATCCTGGAGTCCCGGGATCGAGTCCCGCATCGGGCTCCCTGCTCAGCGGGGAGTCTGCTTCTCCCTCTGACCCTCCCTCCTCTCATGTGCTCTCTCTCTCTCTCATTCTCTCTCTCAAATAAATAAATAAAATCTTTAAAAAAAAAAAAAAAAGAGATGGTAAACTTTTTGCTGTTTATATAACATATTGAGAACTTCGATTCCACCATTTGACACACTTCATTACAAGTATTTAGTAATGGTGGGAGCTCCTTTATCTTCATGCTCTTTATAGCAAATTACAATGTTCTTTTAATATTTTAGGTACTTTTCTATGGATTTTTGGGGAGAACTGTTCACTTAAGAATTAAATAGTTACAAATCCCGTGACATTTGCTAGCATAATTAGCTATTTGAACCTAAATGTGCTACTGTGTTGTATAGTTTTCTGTCATTAAAGGTTGTTTGGGCATCAGTTCACTTCAGTATGCTTTAGTGTTCTTGAATGAAGAATTATAGTACAAGTGCATTAGCTATAACATTTATTAATGATATGTGAAGGTTTTCTAAGAGTGTTTACGATCCCTTTCCACTTAACATTAATTAAAATGAGCTACGATAGGTCTTTGTTCAGAGGAATAGAAATGTATCATCTTTTACTTAAATACCAAGGTCAGTGTGTTTTTAGTTCAGTGTGCCTCAGTAAACTGTATTTTTGGACAGCTGTGTTTGACTGATTTATTTTTTTCTGTCACCCTGGTAATTTAGAACCCTCGCTTGCAACATACCACTATATCATTCAGCTGTTTTATCACCATGGTATGTATGACATTACATATTAATTTATATAGAAAGCTGACACATTCCCTTATGTTTATGTGATTAATTGTTACAGGCCTCTTTCACTGCATATGATTTAAGAATAGAGAATGCAAATTAACATTCCTATAGCCTGAGCAAAAAGTTATTCCAGCTGGAGGGGACAGGGCCATTAAATGTACTAACAGGGTTGGTGTACAATTACAAATGGTCCGAAGGTGGGGCGCCTGGGTGGCTCAGTCGGTTAAGCGTCTGCCTTCGGCTCAGGTCATGGTCCCAGGGTCCTGGGATCGAGCCCTGCATCGGGCTCCCTGCTCAGCAGGAAGCCTGCTTCCCCCTCTTCTCCCCGCTCAGGCTATCTTCTGACTATCTCTGTCTCTCTCACTCTCAAATAAATAAATAAAAATCTAAAAAAATTAAAAAGAAAAGGACTTTAAAAAAAAAACAAATGGTCAGAAGGTATGTTAGTCTGGAGTTCTTTTACCCCCTCCAGAGCTCTGCTTTTCAGGCAAATAGCCATTAGGCACACATGCCTCTTTAATGAAAGTTAAACGACATTGAAGATTTGTTCATCGAATTAGTGCTGGGTACCCATGTGTGGCCGCCGGCTGCTGTATGCAGTGACGCAGCAAGAGAACATTCCCATTTGTACAGGGACTTGTTGGACAGTAACCTTGACCTTATTTTGAAGCCTTGTAGGAGAATCTTTTGGCTCCATTTGTCACCTGCCTTAGGTCAGCCACTTCCTGTAGGAGCTGTGCTCTGTTGAACGGACTTCAGAGCAAGGCCCACCGGAGCTGAAATTTCACCTCCGTCATTTACCAGTTGTGCCAGAAAGGACTGGATGCCCTACTTGAGTGAATACCGTAGGGCCGTAGTGATGAAATGAACTATGCCCAGTGTCTTGTCTCTGCTTGGAAGGCATGCAGTAGGCACTCCTAGTCTGTCAGTTTTTAGCCATTTGCCCCAACCTGAGAAAGAACCCCTGGGTTCAGAAATGACTGCTCCAGTCCTTTTCTCTTGTGGTAGACTTTATATATATAAAACAGAGAAGAACTTGATTATCTCTGTTTTGGTGGACTAATTTTACAAAATCCACATCCTCACCTATGGGGAGGATTTTTATTTTTTAGAGTGGCGGTGGGGGGAAGAGGTAACAGACTTTATCTTGAAAACAGGTAAACAGTTTCCACAATAATTATCTTCTAAAATTTTACTCAACCTTGATGACGTTACAGTGAAACTAGTGTTTCTGACCCCAAAACTTGCTGCATTTTCCTCTACCATTACATATCACTTCGGTTCAGTTGCGTCCTGCTTCCTAAGTAACACTCGGGAACATGGGGGCAGACTCAGAGAAGTGTCCATTTGCCTTACACGTAGGTAAACTGGCTCCCTGCAGTAACGACTTACAGGTATTTACTCAAAGGAGAAAGCCTAAAGAAAGAAAGAATACATGTAAATTATTATGTAATTAATAAAATGATTAGAAATGCCAGCAAATGGAAACATGCTTGAGGAAATTGTAGAAATACATCTGTACTGTCATTAATATTACATTATCACTTGTGTGAGGATAAGGTAGGGAACAGCTTGTATGAATAAGGTGATGTGTTGGGAATTGTGTAGGTGCATTTTATACCTATTAGTACTCAGTTCATGTGATTTTAAGAGGATTTCCTAAATCCATTAATTCTATAGTTTTCTTTTTCTTGGCCTTTTCATCCTGATTGTAACACAAATGATTACTAGCAAAAAAACGTTTGTTTTTCTAAGTATGCAGATTTGGTGAGGTTGTGTGTGTCTCCCACTTCGGTGAAAGTCAAGCTTGAGACAAGACAAAAGAGGAAGGGAAAGTGTGCTGGGAGCACATAGACAAAGAGCTGGAACTGTCCAAGATCATATGGAGAGTTCCCCTCTGTAGTGTGTGCATCTGCTCCTTCAACGAGCATACGCTCTGCCGGCTGTATGCCAGGCAGTCTGCTGCGGGGGGAGGGGAGGTGTGGCCCCTTGAACTGCATTCTGTGTGGTTGGTGGGGGTACAGATGGGACTCCTTATAAAGCCTAATTGCTTTTTTGTTCTGCAGAAAACCCTTCAAAAGGATCATCCCTCATAATCTATGACATTATGAACGAATTAACAGGACAGAAATTTTCCCCAAAGGACCCAGATGACGGTATGCACAGAAATTGCTTGTGTGCAACAAAGAGCTTGCTTTCCTGATTGCCAGTTATGATAGGACAGGGTTTAATTTAGCTTGTCTTACGGTGATTATTCTGAAGAAGCCAAAATATGTGTGGAGCATTGCTCTATGCTTCCTTGCCTAGAGTTTTTATTCCTTTAGGTTTAACTTTAACAGTTTTATTAAGTTTTATTTTTAGGATTTTTATTAATGCTGCTCACTTGAAAATAAATTTTATCCATTGTAACCAAGACTTTGTGAACTTTGATTTTCAGATATGTTTTTTCAGTCAGCCATGAGAGCTGTAAGTACTGTTTCTTGTTTAACTTTTGTTTTTCTTTTTTCCTTTTATCCACTTAAATTCATCTGTAACTCGTGCGGGGTTGAGGGTCTTCCCTGATTCTTTCACTTTCTCTTTGTCTTTGGTCCAAATTTTTTTTCTCTTAAATTTTATACTAATTCACATAGCATCCCTACCTTTATTTATTGTATACATTTTCTTTTTTCACACCTTTGTTTAGATAAGGTTTCAGAGTATTTCATGTTTACCTAATTGTGACTTTTTAAATTGATAATGGTTGTTTTGAATTTTGGTTTTTCATTTTGTGTTAATCAGAAGAAGTTTTAGGCAGTTTCAGGATGGATTAGCATATCCTATTCCCTAAGGATAATTGCTTTCCAAAAGTTCAATGTGTATCCTTGCAGGTTTTTCCTCTAGGTATTGAAACACACACAACCAGACACATTGCCATTACGTTTTGTTTGTTGGCCACAATATAGTATTTCATAGGAGGGAGGGACTACAATTTACTTACCTCTTCTGTGAATGTGTTTTGGAGTTAGTTCATGGGGTTTTTTGCAAATATAGTGATGCTGAAATGAGCACTCCATCTTTCTTTGACCAAGTGTTTTCATAGGATTGATTTCTAAAGGTACAATCACTAGATCAAAATCATTTTATTTTAAATTTCACATAACTTGAGGTTTGCCTCTTTTTTTCCCCCTCAATCTTATAACTCATTTGCTGTCAACCAGTAATACATTGAATCAGCATGAATATTTCCACAAGTAACTCTTTAATGTAATGAGCCACTGTTTGGCTGATAAATCTGAGTGATGCTTACTGTTTGCAAATTTTCAGTGCTCATTTCTCAGAGATCTAGAACTTGCTTATCAAGTACATGGCCTTTTAAATACTGGAGACAACTGGAAATTCATTGGACCAGATCATCGGCGTAACTTCTATTAGTAAGTGTGTTGGAAATAACATCCTTTTGCATTATTGGAGCTTCTTTAAACAACCATTAGTTCTGTAAGTGGGAGACTCTTGGTAGCCCTATGTCACCTCTGCAGGCACCATGCCCCCAACTTACAGTACATGTTAATTGAGCACTTGGAAATTCAAGCAGTGGTAAACTGATTTGCCAGACTGAGATGTCTGCTCTGTATCTTTTAGACTGTTTTTCTTTGTAATGCCTTAAATATACATATCTTTTTTCTCTAGGCCCTATTTTATATTTTTGAATGTATAGTAGGGTAGGTCCCTAACAATTTCAACACAGCCTCTTTTTTTTTTTTTAAGATTTTATTTATTAGGGGAGGGGGAGGGGCAAAGGGAGAGAGAGCAGCAGGCTCCCCGGTGAGCAGGGAACCCAATGCGTGGCTCGATTCCAGGACCCTGAGATCATGACCCAAGCCAAAGGAAGACACTTAACCAACTGAGACACCCAGGCGCCCCAGCCTCTTGTTTTTAAAGCCCAAAGAGACTCCTTAAATGAGTTTGATTTCAGGTAGATAAGAACAGGAACTTGAGGAGGCAGCCTGTTAATAGGCATGTGATGACTGTCTTCTGTGTGCCCATATTCTTGCTTCACATTGCATGCTTTTAAAATGGATGTGATACTCAACTGTTGGCTCACCATGAGCTGAGAGCATGCGGAGGCAGTCATGAATGGCCAGCTGAGGATAGAAGATATTAATTGGGAAGTCCAGAGAACATAGCACCTCCTGAGTCAAGCATTGGCCCATGTAACTTGATATTGTTTGTAACTTATAAGTTGATTTTAGATTCTGTGTAACATACCCTGTAGCTGTGCTGTAATTTAATCATTCTATTGTTAGGGATCTGAGACTAAACCTACCTTTTCTCTCCACTACAGTTCCAAGTTCTTCAGTTTGCTTTGTCTAATGGAACAAATTGATGTCACGTTGCAGTGGTACAAGGACCTGATACCCTCAGTAAGATGAGTCATAACCTCTCATTGTAGATATGCTTGTGGGTATCTTTGCTGACTAATACTTTAAAAATGTATTCGTATTTCTCTTAATCAGGTATTCTTTCCTCATTCCCAAACTTTGATAGACCTTCTCCAAGCATTGGATGTGGCCAACCGGCTAGAAATGATTCCTCAAATTTGGAAAGGTTGGTTCTAGCTTGTATGTCCAGGCCCATCTCACTTCATTGCCCTACATTTTGATTAATGTTAGGGATGGAAATTTCCATTTTTTTTTTTCACTAAATTGAATATATTAGTTAAGGTCTGCTTTATGGTTGCTGGCTCACATTGCGTATAATATTGCATGAGTAAAAATGCATTGAAAGTGACCTAAATAAGTTCCTTTGTGACAGGAAAAGGTAGAGTTTTGTGCATTTGTTGTGTGACATGACAAAGGGAAGACCAGTGCTAATTACGTGGCACACCCTAAATCAAAATTCAGATCTCCATTCACAAAGCCTTTGTTATTCGTCTGTACCCTGCTGCATCATTGTGACTCAATTATTAACCAGTCAGTGATATGTTTCTAAGAAATGGGCATGATTGTGCATTTCTGTGTATAAAATTGGCTGCAGAAGATGCTGTGTCTCTGCTACTAGGTGATGGTGATCACAACTTGAGTTTTCTGTCAGCTTCAGGTTTCCATGTCTGAACACTGAGACCATAACCCTGACCTATTTCACAAGATTGCTCTAGTGATTGTTACATCAGAGATGGTTGACAATTACAGGGTGCTGTAATACAGTGTCTTGCCATATGGAGCTGGTAGCTGCTCCAGAGGAGTCACTTGACCGGGAGCAGGTTACTGCCTTCCGTCGTTCCTTCATCCATTCTTACCGTGAATTATCCTGCTGGTTTCCTGGAGACCTGGAATAAATAGTGTCAGCACCTTTCACCCACCAAGAACTGTGACAGTGGACAAAGGTCAGCTGGAGAGTTTTGGTTTTACATGACAGTGATCACCTCTCACTATGTTCTTTTTCTGTTTCAAGATAGTAAAGAATATGGTCACATTTTCCGCAATGACTTGAAAGAAGAGATTCTGATGCTCATGGCAAGGGATCAGCACCCACCAGAGGTAGGGTTATATCCAGATTCAAGTTATGTTACACTGATTAGGTGTGCACTAACCAGTATGTTCTCTGACATTGTGGACCTTGTAAGGGTAAGTTCCTTGGTTTCATCTAGGGAGACGTTACAGAGAATTCTGCTACCTAAACCTAGATTTAAATTCTACATCTAAACATACCCAGCCATTAGCAGAATCCCATTTCTGAAGTCACTTTCATTCCTCCAGTCCAAAACTGTCTTGACAGTAGTAGCTTTTTGAAAAAATTCCCATCTAAAAAGAAAACCCATAATGTATTTTTGAAGGATGTGGCCAGTATTCAAATTATTTACCCCAGAGCAGGGCGGGGTACGTTCTTTTTTATTGCATGTGTACTATACATGTGATGGGTTCAAATGGTAAAATGCATAGCCTAAAAATGCCAACGCTTTTGTGGAGTCTTCTGAACTTAGATTCTCCTAAAACCAGCTAGGCAGTTCTGCTGACTCTTCAGGGCCTCTCAGCTTCAGGTGGCGTTTGCTGACTGTGCTGCAGATATCAAATCCACTTACGAGAGCCAGGATGCCAGACAGATTGCTCCTGAGTGGCCAGCCAACTGCCTGAACTATATAGCTGTCCTCTTTTTAAGGGCTGGGAGAATGCAGGAAGCCTGGTGAGTACAAAACCACAAGTGTAAATTAGAAGCATTTGTACTTGGATCTCAGAGAACATTTTCCCTGGTCACTAGAATTTTCTAATTTGACTATTAGATGTGTAATCAGAAAAATGAGTTTTCTACATAATGAGTTTTCTCTGGGACTGCAAATACCAACTGAAAAGGAAACTTTTGGAAGACCAGGATAGTATATACATTGTATTTAAGAGAGGACACGGCTTAATAAGGGCTAATTCTCTATTTCTCGCCTGTTTTCTGTATCCATGGGCAAGTAGTCACTTGTCCTGTCCACTTAAATAGAATGATCAAAGAATCTTATTTTTGAAAATGCCTTGGGCATTTGGCTTATCCAAGTATTTCAAGTGCAGGCTGTGCACTTGGACTTCTAGAAACTGACATTTAAAAATGGCCTTGACTAGGGGCGCCTGGGTGGCTCAGTCATTTAAGCGTCTGCCTTCGGCTCAGGTCATGATCCCAGGGTCCTGGGATCAAGCCCCACATCGGGCTCCCTGCTCGGCAGGGAGCCTGCTTCTCCCTCTCCCACTCCCCTTGCTTGTGTTCCCTCTCTCTCTGTGTGTCTCTCTCTGTCAAATAAATAACATTTAAAAAATAAAAATAATATAAAAATGGCCTTGACTAGAACCACCTTTGGTTTGTGTCACCGTATACCTACCAGTTTTGTGTTTTCATCAGCACTTCCTTCACATACTAATTCTTAGTGTTTGTGAATGGACATTTTACATGCATTCCTTTTTCCAAAAGCAGAGAAGACAACAAAAGAATACTTTGTAGGAGTAGTCCTCGTTAGGTGCTTTTGTTCAGTAAGTGGGGTACTCGTATATGGCTTTTTCAACACAAAGTAACTGGAACATAGGGTTGTCAGCCCAAAATGTGGTTGTTCACTGTCTTTAGGAAAAGCTGGTGAATGAAGGTTTTGCTGCCTAAACTGGTCTTAGGAGTGTAAATCACACACATGGCCTGCTACACTGCTAGTGACAAACCTTTGATGCTCAAATTTGTTAACTCAGAACTCAGGTTGACACACACTTGTTACGAATCAGGCTGTGATGATTGGCGCAGGGGTACGGACCTCAGCTGAATCATGGGAGCTGAATGTATGTGTTTCACCTTTGTCTTGCATGTGGCAGGCTGCTGGTGAGCACTTACATGAGACTCATGCCTTAATCTGAGCCTGCTCTTCACAGTGTAATTCTAGGACACTGATCCCATTCTGGGATCGTAAGAGAGGAAAGAGATCGCACTCTGTTGCATCCCTCTCTTTCTGCTGCCCACAGGGTGCATTCTGTCCCTGGGAGGACCGAAGTGATTCTCAAGAAGAGGATATACCCCCCCAGTAATTCTCAACACTGGCAACGAATCAGACTTGCCTGTGAAACTTGAAATGTACATATGTGAAGTTTGGGAGGAGGGAGTTGTAGCACCCAAGGTGCTTTAGATGTGAACAGGGCTGGGAGCCAGTGGAGCTCACACCTGTGTCTTCAGGAACTTGCAGTGGGAGAACAGCTGTGATCATCTACTCACCTTCTGTGCTGTTTATACTCGTAATCTTTCTCATATCTCATCTTGAACAGGAAAATGTTGGGGCTTTTCAAGAAGCATAATAAGATCCCTGGGTAAGTTGAAGTTAAAAAGCCTCCCTGGGTACATCTTGGAATTAGCTGCATGGTCTTAACTCTTACCATGGGATGATTGGAATTTCTTCACATACCTCAGTCACAGTGATTGAGCATTCTTCTGCTCAAGCAAATGGACAATTGCTTCCACCATCTAGGGCATCCTGAAGCAAGCACTGTTTTTAATCTGTGCTTGTTGATTGCAACACACCGGGCATACACTGAACAACAGATCCTTAATGAAGGCATAATGGATCAATGTTCATTGTATCTTTGGCCCTTTAGTCTTTGTGGCAGTGCCTGAGTGGCTCAGTTGGTTAAGTGTCTGCCTTTGGCTCAGGTCATGGTCCTGGGGTGCTGGGCTGGAGCCTCATGTCTGGCTTCTCATTGGAAGTCTGCTTCTCCCTCTGCCCCTCCCCCCACTCATGCTGCCCCTCTCTCTCTGATGAATCTTTTAAAATATTAAAAGTCTTCATGTAGGGTGCCTGGGTGGCTCAGATGGTTAAACGTCTGCCTTCAGCTCAGGTCATGATCCTAGAGTCCTGGGATCGAGTCCCACATCGGGCTCCCTGCTCCTTGGGAGCCTGCTTCTCCCTCTGCCTCTCTCTGTCTCTCATGAATAAATAAATAAAATCTTAAAAAAAAAAAAAAAAGTCTTCATGTAAGTTTACCTCCAAAGCTACTGTTGTGGATTTCATGACTCAACTTTATAGAATGCTAGGTTTTACTTTGCATATAAATCTGTGAGGGGGCTCGGGTTTAGTTGGGGAATGTTGACATTTTGCCTTTCTTTTACAGAAATGAGTTGTTGAATGAGTTTATGGACAGTGCAAAAGCATCCAACAGCCCTGCCCAGGCCATTGAGATAGTGAAGCTTGCAAGTGCCTTCAGCTTGCCTGTTTGCGAAGGCCTCACCCAGAGAGTGATGGCTGACTTTGTAATCAGCCAGGAACAGAAGTGAGTCCTGCAGCAGATGGAGCAGACGATTTGTCCACCTACCCATTGTGTTTATAGCTTTCTTCCTCCTGAACTTTTTTCTTTGCAAAACACCAGGATGTGATCGCTGTTTATTTCATTTGTCATACATGTCAGAGCCTATAGATTTGGCTCTTGGAAACTTCCCTTTTCATTAGAGCTTAGTGCAGCTGCAGAGTCCCCTCCCCCAAGCCTAAAATGCAGTGTAACCCTCTAGTTTATTTTCCTTACAGGGAAGCCCTGGGAAACCTAACCTCACTGACCAGTGATAGCGACAGCAGCAGTGACAGTGACAGCGACAGCGATGAAGGCAAATAAAAGTGGGCGAATCAGGAGCAGCTGTGGCCTAGCATAGCTGTTGTACTTAAGCTTGAGAACTGACATCTCTGTTCAACCATCTTGTGAAGCAAACGAGAATTCAGACTTGAACTTCAAAGAACAATAGGTACAGCATGGACTATTTAAATTCCTAATTTGATACTTCCTAAGCCACCCATTCAGGGTTGACCATTTAAACAGAAGCAGCACTACCATTTTCATTTCTGTGGACACAAACGGTGAGGATGCAGCTCCTGGCTTCGGCATAAGCTCTGCGCATGAGCAGTGTTTGTTCAGCTGACTTCACACTGCTGTCCAGTGTGGTTTGTCCTCCCGTCGTGGACTTGGCCTTCGTGGCCTGATGCTGTGATGCTGGTGCTTCCTCAGTCTTTGAGAAGGTGGCTAAAGGAGGTTTGCAATACATACATCTCCATTGATACTGGATCAGTAGCCCAATTTAAGGGATATTTTAGAGGTGAGAAATTTGCCATTGTTGTTTAATCATTTCTAAGATGCATAGTGTTTGGGCTGCATGAATGGGATAATGAAGGCTGTAAATAAACACTGTAGTTAAGGTGCATTTGTACGCATTCCCATTACTTTCACACAGCCTTTGTCTCCCCCCCGCCCCCCGCCCCAGGCCCTGGGACTTGCACGAAAGTGCTCCATCTCCCTTGCTTCCCCCTGTGTGTGCCAGCACCTTTAGTTGTACTCGGTCTACTACAAGTGGTCTAAAGTGAGGGCCGCTGGGCGCCTGGGCGGCTCAGTTAAGCGGCTGCTTCAGCTCAGGTCATGATCCCGGGGTCCTGGGATCGAGTCCCACATCGCGTTCCCTGCTCAGCGGGGAGCCTGCTTCTCCCTCTCCCTGCCACTCCTCCTGCCTGTGTGCTCACTTGTGCTCTCAGTCACATAAATAAAATCTTTTAATATAAAAAAATAATAGAGGACTGCTAGTCAAGAACCTCTGCTACTCCTGGCATTTCTCTTACCACTATGAAACCATACTGGAAGTGAGCAGGAACCTGCAGTTTACAGGGAGCATTCTTGCCCTTCACCAGGGCTTCCGCAGGCTGCTTTGCTCGTTCCTGGTCCCGGATCTACTGAGGGGCCCCATGAGTCTCTCCCAGATGAACAGCTTCGGCCTTACCCTGCCAGGGCTGCCACTGATGGGCTACTATTTTGTACCCTTGTCTGTTCCATGTATCTGTTCCAGTTCTACTTTCTATCCTCTCTCTCTAGACCTGGACCCAGCAGTATATCCTCAAAAATCTGAGTATTGGCTCATGTTTTCTCCTAGATTGCCGGTTTAAGACTTCTAATTAAAGGACAAAGGGGGCAGGGAAATGACAGTAATGAGCTGTTAAGCATTCATGTGCATTATTCCCTGACATAAAGAAGCAAATGAACAAAAGGATAGTTAAGGCTGATTAGCCTTTGATCTTGGTTTACAACTTCCTTAGGTGCTTTTGGAAGCAACCTAAGCGTCTGCCTTCGGCTCGGGTCATGATCTCAGGGTCCTGGGATCGAGCCCCACATCGGGCTCCCTGCTTGGCGGGAAGCCTGCTTCTCCCTCTCCCACTCCCCCTGCTTGTGTTCCCTCTCTTGCTCTGTCTCTGTCAAATCAATAAAATCTTTATATAAAAATAAAAACACTGAAATAGGACATGCTTGGAGACAGCGGTCACTGGAGCAAGGCTGGTCAGGGCAAGTGTATGGAGTCATTTAGATCAGATCTTTAGAGCAGAGTGGTGATTTACCAAAGACAAGTATTTGATTTGGTTAATAAAAGGCAATGTGCTAATGGAATGACGGAAATGTAAGATACATAGGGTCTGGACAGGGAAGGAACATCCAGCCTGGCCCAGGAAGGAGCCTAACTTGTCAAAACGCTGTCCATCCAATCCGCACAGCCATGGACTGAGAGAATCCAGGACTGGAGATCAAGCCCAAGAATAGTTTAGAGCTCCGCAGGATTTCAGACTCTTGAAAACTAAGAATGTCCAAGAGTATAAAGATTATGAGAATTTATTCCTGGGGAAACCTAACATTTGCCACCAATACCAGTGGAATTTGTTCCTACAACAGTGGCACCTTTGCTGGCTCTTGCCTCTTAATCCCTCTAAAACCCCCTCTCCTGGAACCCCCAGGGCAGTGTCCCTACAGCTAGCGTGAACTCACAAGCCAGTGAAACATGACCTCCCCATGTTTTGGAAAAGGGCAGAGTGGCCAGTTACCCTCTTGCTCTTCCACCCTCATCCCTTCTTTATACCCTCCTGGTGACCTCAAGGTCCCTGAATGCTTCAGGGGGAAGGAAACCGGTGCGGGTGGCGGGGCGGGGGGGGGGGGGGGGGGGGGGGGGGGGGGGGGGGGGGGGGGGGGAGTTGTTCAGCTTTGGTTTGGGGTAATGGTTACCACTGGACCTGATGAAGAGTGATCTGCCTGATATTGAATCCTTTTTATTTCCCATTTATGTTAAATTATCTGTTCTTCTGCACTGAGTTCAAGCAAGTTACTTTAAAACTGGTGGGACAACTCATTTGGGACTTGGAGACTGCTTTTATCCAGAACCTGTTAAGAAAGAGCAGAGGATTTAAGTTAATACTAAGGAATAGAAAGACTCTGTGCCTTTAAAAAGACTGTCTAAAACTGCATTTTAGTTACATGATTGATTTTTGAAACATTAAAGCAAAGATCAGAGTTTTAATGTTATATTTAGAGGCATGAGTTTAAAATGTTGAGGAACACTGCCTACAGCACTCAAGAGGGAGGCAGTAAGGTAACCCAATTTAAGGCTCAAATAGATTGAGACAATGAAAGCAAGACAAATAATGATTTGCTTCACACGATCAAGTCAGAAGTGGCAGAGATGTAACTTACCACCTACAGTTGAGTTGAAGTAAAGTGAAGCTGCCCGGCTCTAAGTGTCCAAGGTTACAGCCATCTTCCCCCAAACTTGCCCCTTTGGGTTCCACCTTGCCTTCAAGGACAACTGACAACTCAAGTAAAGGCCCTTTTCACTTGAAGGGTTGCTGAGTGACATCTCAGGAAGATGGGAGTCTTACTAGGCCTGAGGAGAGAGAATCAAGGCCTGGCCAAGCGTCCCCTTCCAACATCATCCCATTTTCTAATAGGCAACAGGGATAAGGAGGTTTGTTAATGGAACTACTAAAACTTGAAGGCCAGTGGTCTTCATTATTTTGATTTACTGAGGTAAAATAAACCATTCAGTATTGCTTGCCTCTTAGGAGCTCAGATAATCACATCTGATGAGACTTATTTTCCAGCTCCTAGAGAAATTTAGATTTCCTTACCAATATTTCCCAGGCTGCATAAATAAAACAAATTACAAGCACCTTTACCACAACAAACAGGTAAGTAGCTTTGTGAGTTAATGTATTTTGCAATTCCATACCATTCCAAAGGGGAAGGCTGAATTTAGAATAGTCTCATTTTCTTGTGGTAAAAATAGCACACTCTAACTGCAGAAATTAAGGACATTACACAAAGCATGTGTTCCATCAGAGACACTTACATATATTTGTTGATTTAAGAATCTACTCAGGAGGAACATTAAGGAATATTAGCAATATCAACCAAGGCCAAAACAGGACCAAAAGATCCCCAAATCAAAGGGCAAGTGCCATGCAAACTTAATGTAACAATCCAAATTTAGGGTCTGGCACACACCTGCAGAAATATAAAATAGAATTCCTCTCTCCTCCAGGATTTGCAGATACTTTGCTCAAATAATAGTGCCTCAGTCTCTTTGTGAACCCATATACCCCAACAAAAAATTAAAATTATGAAAACAAATTTGACGATATTTTCATGGAATAAGAAAAAAATCGAAGGAATTTGTTAATGTTTACCCAATATCGCAATTGTCCTAACCTTCAGAGACATGAACTAAAAAAGTTCTCTGGGTTTTATGGCAATCCAGTTTAAATATACCACAAAATTACTCAATGCCATTAACTTTCCAGGCTCACTACCCCCACTTCAATGAAGAGATTCAGTCCAAGTACCAGAAAGGAGCAAGGTCAATTACCAGTGTTTCAGAACCGAGAGCTGTGACCTGTTTTGAGGGCTGTTTAATTAATTTGTGGGTAAAGAAAACTTTTTTTTAAATGAAACAGACCAGAAAACAGTACATCACAAGTAGAAAGGGGCTAGCAGTGGTTTGAAAAAACTGTTTCAAGTATGCACACAGGTGTGTGTATATATTGGGTCCCAATATAAAATATAAATTTTTCCTCTGGTGGCAATTTTAAAAGTCTCAGATACTATTATTTCTAGTGCCCTTTAATCACTAGAAATGCTGTATCTCCCATTATAAACATTTTGGCAATTGTGCCTTGTACATCACTCTTTTGAGTTTGACCAGTAGTAATCAGTTCACCAGAACCTTCAAAGCCAAAAACAGACCTTGCACTTCTGGAACCCAATTCATGACCTGGAAACTCAGTACCCAGGATTTCCTACCTCTGCTGCTGCCACTTCTCAAGGGAATTGTCTACGCATACAACAAACTAGAAATGGTACTTTCTGAAAAGGGATAAGCTACTCAGTTTTCATCTTTTTGTTTTATTCAGTTTGCTCCAAGGAAAAATCAATAGTCACAGGGATCACAAACATTATTTTGACTGGCTCACAAGCCTGATCAGTAAAACCTGAAAAACAAAATGTTACACAAGTTGCAAAGAAAATACTCCTGGAGTTCACTGACATGATAGCAAGTGGAAATATAAATGCAACAGGTGTTAACATTTAGAACAGTACTTGTAACCTGCTCCTTTCTAGACAATTCTGGGACCCTGTTGCAAACCCTTCATGTATCACTGCTGATTCCCTTTCACATAAAATAGGACTTTACAAAACTCTTCCTAGACCTTACTCTTGCTGCACTTGAGTGGTTCCTATTCCTACGGCGCTGGCGTACGCTGTCAGGATCTCCACTATCTGTTTAGTTTCTAGGGTCATTCGGGCTTCCTTCAGCCAGT